GTTGCGGGGGGTGTGGGACGAATACAGCACGGACAAGAAGAAACACAAAGGGTTAAGCGTCTTTCAGAAGCTTCCCCTCTCCCTCAAAACGTCCTGCACGTGCATATTAACCATAGTTATTTCTCAAAGAAACTGTTCAGAATGAAAATAAATGTCATCCTGTATTATTGGATGTTGTCTCTTGCTGTTGCAGGAAGGTTATTCCGGGTGATACTTACTCTTTCAAGCAACATTTGTTCTGTCCCTGGAAACTCAAAGAATAACAATGAATGCGAAGATGTAACTGACCTTTTCTTTGCAAACTCTTTAAATTGTTTTATTAAATAATCTAAAACATTTCTTCATTGTGACTGTTTCTAGGATACAGTTCATACTCTCAACATGCTTGTCTAGAAATAGGTCGGGGTTAACTGGGCATTGCTGCACCTGATCTCAAAAGTGGAAATTGGAAATGCTTATAGTTCAGACCAGCTTTAAATTAATTGAATGCATCTGACTTGATAATTTAATAATCTTCATGTTGACCTTGTTACAAATGAGTAAAGTAATATTAGAAAATGGAAGTATATTTTTTTAATATAAAATTGGGGAGACATTCTGTGCAGGAAATAATTATGTAGCAAATATGTGGGATTTTATTTTGTTTTACCCGTTGGTATGATTAACAATTGCTCACAGATTTGAGGAAGTAACCTAAATCTGGTCCTATCTGGAGCTGGAATTTTGATAGTCACCTTGCAGTCCGTAAAGAAAGAGGTGCAAAGATATTGGTTTATGAAAGCTTTTTTATTATTATTATTGTTTTCCTCTCCTTTTTCTTGCTTTCTAGAGACAGTGGAAGAAATTACAATCCTTTGCTACCTTGTGTCTTTCACCATATCAATATTTTTTTAGTACTGAATTTACCAAAAAAAATTTTTTTCCAGCTCCTGTTTCAAAGAAAATTATTAACTAGTAGGCCCTCTGTAAGAGTTTGCTTTCCTAGTTCCTTAAGATCAGGGCTTATTTGGTTTAAAAGTCAGTTCAAAGTGTTGCTAAAGTGGTGCTTTAAAAATTGATTGTGCGGCTTGCTATGCTGTAGTGCTTAGTGGAGTTATAAAATCTGATGTCTTGTGCTCTAGGTCATCTTGGGGGTTTTGTTCTTTGGCAGAGACAGATTGCTAGAAATACTTAGTAAATAAACAAGATATTTATACTTGTATATATATGTTTGCTGGCCTAGGGTTAGGGTAGTGCCTTTTTCTTTTTTCTGGAGGAGATAGGTGAGTTGACAAAAGCCAGCTTATAGTACACAATAACTAAAGAGGTTCTTTGCATCAAGCAAAAGGTACTATTTGGAGTATCATTTGTCATACATTTGTAAAGAGATAGAAAATTCACCACTTGTTGAGGCTGGAAACTTGTGTGGAACTAGTAAAGGTCAGATCTAGGCAGTGTCTAAAACTTCTGTCGTCTGCAGTATCCAAATGCTTTTTCTTTTTATAGTGCTCACACTCATTTTAAGTATGTAAATAAATATAAATGTGTGTATATAATGTTCATTTAGGAGAGTAACGCAAAAATAGCTTTCTTACCTTTTATCATCTTTTCCTCCAGGGATGGTTCTCTGATACAGGGAAAAGCTTGTTTGCTTCACCTGCCCTGCACGTTTTTGCCCATCTCCATCCCATTTAAAATCTCTCACTTCATGTTCAGATGTTGTCCCTAGCTTTCAAACAGACCATAATGGTAATTGTTACCTGTTAGATTTTTTTAGATGAAAACACAAAAGGCTTTGGTATTTGGGTGGGTTTTTTTGTAGTTGCACTTGATTTATGCCTGGGAAGACCTTGTTAACCCCAGTGGTGCTATTTCCTTGTCTTCCTCTATGCTACTGCTGCCTCCACCTACAGCTTCCTCCTCTTCCTCAGTGCTACGTCAGTAAAAACAGGAGCCCTGAAAGTAATGAATGCTAGCCCCTGGTGTAGCTGTGCTTCTTTTTGCACCTGCTTTTAAACTAACCTACTGTAACACATTGCTGCATTGTAACTCATCTCTAATCCTTCTTTTCTCTGCTAGATCCACACAGGTTTGCAACACCAGATAATCTGGCCCTGCCAGCCCAGCTGTGTGCCACTGGATGAGAAACTCCTCCCAGAGCTACTTCAAGAGGCGGGATATGTTACTCACATGGTGGGGAAGTGGCATTTAGGGATGTACAGAAAAGAATGCCTTCCAACCCGCAGAGGATTTGATACTTACTTTGGTAATGTTACATTTAACATGGGCAATAAATGAGGTGTTAAAAATTATGAGAAACTGCCCCATTCTTCTAAGAACAGCAGATTTACTATTAGGGTATAAGTAAATTGATACCTGGGCTTGCGTGTTTCCAAAGTATAACTGCTTAAAATAAGACAGTGCCTTAAATGCATGCCTAAGCCTTACAACTTACTGAAGAAAATAGTGTAATTATTGAGTGGCTCCAAAGAAATTATGAGAATATTGTGATGATTGAGTGGCTCATGATCTGCATGTAATTTGATTCCATGATGGCTCATTGCTTAAACGTGTATGCCTCCTCCCATCCCTTTGCAGGAGCTTAGGGTCTTTTTGATGGCATAGATGTAGACAAGCTGGTGCTCAGTGTGACATCTTACCCCGGGACCGATCAGGCTCTTAATGCAGGGGCCTTAATACAGGCTGCCTCTGGGTATGGTCGTTGGGTGCCCAGCATGACATTATTTTTCAGAGGACGTAGCAGTTTGATATCCTATAATGTTCATGGCACTCTGGTAGGGGGTGATTGCTGTTAGGGGCATTCGATTCTTTGACAAACCTGACACAGTGCCTCTTCCAGCAGTCACTCAAAATGGAAAAATGCAACTTGTGGCTCTGCAGTCTGCTTGCAAAAATCAGTCTCTATGCTTTTTTTCCTCCTAAAAATGTATTAGAAGCTTGTATTGTATTTAAAACTGAATTTCATTCTTTCTATACATACTTTTTTACAAAAGTAACTGTAGTTGAAGCTGCTGGATAAAAATTCAAGTGAAGTTCCTCCATTTTGGATTTTTGTCCCCAGTTTTAGTTTGGTTTTGTGGAACTTAAGAATATATTTTTACAGATTCATCTGTTTTTTGGGGGATAAATCTGAAATCTAATTTCAAAAGTAATAGTTACTGACATTCAAATGATTTTGAAGACTTCTGTTTCTGATCGATAAAAAGCAAAGGCACTCCATGCTTAGCAGGATAGCCATTGATAGGAGCAAATCTATACCTGTAGAATTTTTTGCGTAGTTTGTTTCTTTTGGGTATCTTTAAAAAAAAAGCATCTTTTTTTTCTCCAGTTGGTGTCAGCAGTGAATCAGAAATTACTTTATGGCGGACATAGAAAATGATTCCTACTTGGATGTCTTTGAATAAATAAATAAATAAATACAAATACAAAGTTTCTAATAGAGAAGTCTTATATGAAAAGACAAATATACAAAATCATACCAGCTAAAAATCAGAGTACTACAAGGATAGGTCCCTGTCTTTGCTACCAGTGTTTTAGTTTAATGCTGAAGTCTTTGATATTGAGTTATAAAGTCATTGAACTGCTTTCAGGCGGTTTTATATGCTTTGAAATTACTGCTTGCGTTAGCAATAAAAAGTATATGAAGTATTAAATGTTGAGCCACTTACACTTATCAGGGAGTGTCACTACAGATGGTCACATGTTGAATGAGTGTTTCAGCTCAAAAACCCTAACGTTTTGACATTTATTTTTGACTATTTTTTTCCCCTCCGATGTATCTGTTTGTGTGACATGATGTTGACATGCTTATTTGATATCTTTTCCTGTTCTAGGCTATCTTCTGGGGAGTGAGGATTATTATTCTCATGACCGTTGTGTCCTCATCAAAGCGAAGAACGTTACACGCTGTGCTGTGGACTTTCGAGATGGAGAAGAAGTTGCAGCTGGTTTTAAAAACATGTACTCCACAAATTTATTTACAGAAAGAGCTGTAGATATTATAGCAAATCACAAAACTGAGAAGGTACAGACAGCAGCTGTTACTTTGGTAACTTCAACACTAAAGAATGTTTGGAAAAAAAAAAAAGTTAATGAAATACTAATGGGGAGACCTGCGCTTGAGCAGTTGTTCAGGGCTATTCAGCAGGGTGTGTAGGGCTAAATGGGAGAAGTAACTCTGGTAAAACTTGCCTTGTCTCTGTCAGAATTGGCTTTGGCTGCACAGCCCTGGCCTGCTACCCTTCTCCATTTCTTTTTAATAATACGAGTAATGAGTTTATAGAAATGACTTAGCATGTAGTTTACTCTTCTAAAAAGAGAATGGAAAGTTTAATGGGAGAAATTTCATAGAAAGAAAGTGTTAACAACCATCTTATGAAGAAAAGATACACCTGATGTTTTTCCACAGCTTCACAAAATTCATTTATCAGAGTTTTATTAGTTTATGTTTAAGGATTAGAAGAGATAAGTGTAGAAGAAATCACAATTCAGTGCCTGCAGCTGCTGATGAATCAGGTCTGCTTTTGCTGCAGTAACTTTTGCATTTGGTACTTTTGAGTTCAACTAATTTCCATTCTATCCCTCCCACCCCAGCCCCTCTTTCTCTACCTTGCTTTTCAGTCTGTCCATGAACCTCTGGAGGTCCCTGAAGAGTACATGAAACCATATTCTTCCATTAAAGATGTAAAAAGGCGCCATTATGCAGGGATGGTGACTCTTATGGATGAAGCTGTAGGAAATCTTACTGATGCTCTGAAAAGATATGGTCTTTGGGAGAACACAGTTCTTGTTTTCTCTACTGGTAAGTTCATTATATAGTCTTTCAGTAATAACTTTGATACAGTGTCTAACAAGTTGTCTGCAGAGGTGTCTGGCCCCTCTGTCCTTCATCCTTACGTTTTCTAACTACAGAAGTGTGGTGAAAGCAAAACAGGACTTCATACCAGAAGGAGCAGTTTCTCTCCCCCCTCTTATGGATTTCTCAAGCATGACAAAATCAACTGTGAGGAAGTTGAGTGTTGCTCCTATTGGAGTAAAAACAGCATGGTCAAAACTTAGGAGTGTGGTGAAGTCGCAGACATCTTACTTGCTACTGCCATTACTGCATATCTTTCAGAATTGAAACCTTACTGAGAATGATCTACCAAATTCACTTGTCCTGAGCTATAGGTAGCTGTCTGATCAGTCTATAAATTGCCACATGTTGCATGAAGCACGAACAGCCAGACAGCAAGCAGTTTGAAGCCAAAACTCACTCTT